GGGAAAATCAAAAGAAATCCGCCAAGACCTCAGAAAGAAAATTGTAGACCACAAGTCTGGTTCATCCTTGGGCGCAATTTCCAAACGCCTGAAGGTACCACGTTCATCTGTACAAACAATAGTATGCAACTGTAAACACCATGGCACCACGCAGCCGTCATACTGCTCAGGAAGGAGACACGTTCTGTCTCCTAGAGATTAACATACTTTGGTGCAAAAAGTGCAAATCAATCCCAGAACAACAGCAAAGGACCTTGTGAAGATGCTGGAGGAAACAGGTACAAAACTATCTATATCCACAGTAAAAACGAGTCCTATATCGACATAAGCTGAAAGGCCGCTCAGCTAGGAAGAAGCCACTGCTCCAAAACCGCCATAAAAAAGCCAGACTACGGTTTGCAACTGCACATGGGGACAAAGATCGTACTTTTTGGAGAAATATCCTCTGGTCTGATGAAATAAAAATAGAACTGTTTGGCCATAATGACCATCGTTATGTTTGGAGGAAAAAGGGTGAGCTTGCAAGCCGAAGAACAACATCCCAACCGTGAAACACGGGGGGTGGCAGCATCATGCTGTGGGGATGCTTTGCTGCAGGAGGGACTGGTGCACTTCACAAAATAGATGGCATCATGAGGAAGGAAAATTATGTGGATTTATTGAAGCAACATCTCAAGACATCAGTCAGGAAGTTAAAGCTTGGTCGCAAATGGGTCTTCCAAATGGACAATGACCCCAGGCATACTTCCAAAGTTGTGGCAAAATGGCTTAAGCACAACAAAGTCAAGGTATTGGAGTGGCCATCACAAAGCCCTGACCTCAATCCTATAGAAAATGTGTTGGCAGAACTGAAAAAGCGTGTGCGAGCAAGGAGGCCTACAAACCTGACTCAGTTACACCAGCTCTGTCAGGAGGAATGGGCCAAAATTCACCCAACTTATTGTGGGAAGCTTGTGGAAGGCTACCCAAAATGTTTGACCCAAGTTAAACAATTTAAAGGCAATGCTACCAAATACTAGTTGAGTGTATGTAAACTTCTGACCCACTAGGAATGTGATGAATGAACTAAAAGCTGAAATAAATATCTCTCCCTACTATTATTCTGACATTTCACATTCTTAAAAGAAAGTGGTGATCCTAACTTTTTTACTACGATTAAATGTCAGGAATTGTGAAAAACTGAGTTGAAATGTATTTGGCTAAGGTGTATGTAAACTTCTGACTTCAACTGTATATAGGTTGAGCCATGACTAGAATACAGTATAAACTGTACATAAAAAAGTGGGTAAAACAGTATGTAAACATTATTAAAGTGGCCAAACCCTCCCCTAACGCGGACAACGCTGGGCCAATTGTGTGTCACCTCATGGGTCTCCCAGTCGCAGCCGGCTGCGACACAGCCCGGGATCAAACCCAAATCTGTAGTGACACCTCAAGCACTGCAGTGCCTTAGACCGCTGCTCCACTCGGGAGGCCCAAATGCTGCCATCTATGCACGGTTTTTGGTTTGGATCAGTTCTAATCATCACAGTGGGAACAACATCCTCTATGCATTTCCCGATGAACTTCGTAACAGAGTCAGTGTATATGTCGATACTATTCTCAGAGGCAATCCGGAACACTTCCCAGTCCTAGTGATCAAAACAATCTTGAAGCATAGATTCCGATTGGTCATACCAATGTTGGACAGTCCTTACCACGGGAGCATCCTGATTAAATTTCTGTCTATAGAAGGTCTATAGCAGAATAGAGGCGGGATCTGATTTGCCTTGTAGCCATCCCGGAAGGGAGAGTAGCAATGATCCATGGACTGTGTTGCATGTGTAGCACAGGAGATGTGTTGATACAGTTTCAGTAGCGTTTTCCTCAGATTTCCTTTATTAAAGTCCCCAGCTACAATAAATGAGGCCTCAGGATATGCGATTTCCAGTTTGCAAATAGTCCAGTGTAGTTCCTTGAGGGCCGTTGCGGTGTCGGCATGGGGGGGAATATACATGGCAGTGAAGATTACCAAAGAAAATGATCTTGGGAGGTAATGCGGTCGGCATTTGATGGTGAGGTATTCCAGATCGGGAGAACAAAAGGACTTGATTTCCTGTACGTTACCGCAATCACACCATGAGTTATTAATCATGAAACAAACCTCCTTTCTTTTTACCACACAGTTCTTTCTTCCTGTCTACGAGATGGACGGAGTACGCCGCTGGCTGAATGGACTGGGACAGTATATCTGGAGAGAGCCATGATTCTGTAAAACAGAGTATGTTATAGGCCCTGATGTCTCTCTGGAAGGAGATCTTCGCCCTGAGCTTGTTTACTTTATTGTCCAGGGACTGAACGTTAGCGAGTAATATACTCGGAAGAGGTGGATGGTATGCATGACGCCTGAGTCTGACTAGGGCCCCGCTCCTTCTACCTCTTCTCCGGCGTCTGCGTTTTGTTGCAGCCCCCAAAATGAATAAAGCTGACTCGGAAAGTTCAAACAAAGGATCCAGGTTGAATTTCTGCTTGCATTTCTGGTGAGTGACTACCAATCTAATAACCCAAAGTTCTTTCCGGCTGTCGGTAATAATACAAGAAACGCACACAAAAGAAAATACTGCAAAGTTGGCTAGGAGCTAGAAACAGGGTGACCGTGTCTGTCAGCCTCATCTTGTGGTTGTTAAGTTGGCTGCAGAATGTCACTTGAGTTTCTAGATTTCCTTTTCTAGATAGCATCGCCTGAGGATTGCTTCTGGATTATCTTGTATGACAGTGATCTCTGTGCTCAACCTGGTCTCAGAGCATTTTGTATTATTCTGTATTCAAATCCGAGACACTCCATTTAGTATGATATGTTACGTTTCGTATGGTATGTATTAATTTGTGGATGTCCATCACCCATTTCGTATGATATGTTACGAATTACAATTCACATTACACGTTACACATTTTCAAAACATACAATATGTTACGAATTTGCATCCGTACAATATGTTATGAATTTGCAAAGCATATGATATGTTACGAATTCTAGGTAGGTGGCTAACATTAGCTAGCTTGCTAACGTTAGCTAGGCTATGGGTTAAGGTTAAGTTTAGGAGTTAGGTTAAATGGTTAGGGTTAGGGGAAGGGTTAGCTAAAAGTGTTAAGTTTAGAGTCCCGGTAAGGGGAAGAATTAGCTAACATGCTAAGTAGTTGCAAAGTAGCTAAAAAGTAGTAAGTAGTCCGTGATGACGCTAAAGTTGTCCGTGATGACATTCGAACTAACAACCTTTGGGTTGCTAGACATTTGCCTTATACGCCTACCCATCCACCCCGACCAACCACACAACTTTTGTTTTTGCCCTAAGTAACCATCTGTCTTATGTAACCATACCAAACGTAACATATCATAATAATTTGAGTGTCCCGGATTGACATTTACTATGTTACGTCTAGTCTATGAGACCAGGCTACTGTGCTAAGTCTGATTGCCAAGACTGTGCAGCAAAAGAGTGAATGGAGTTCAACCACTTTAGGATGATATGATCTCTAGGCAATACTTAAGGCAATTAAGTTGTTCATAACATAGGGCCTTATAGGCTTAGATAGTCCACAACACTAGTTGTGGCGACATCTCTGCCACCACCTAACAAGTCACACTATGACCCTGCAAACAAAGCCAATCGGAAAGGTGAATGTTGTGTTTGTTTTGGTTGAGAGAAGCAAGCCAGACAATGTCTCTGGAATATCTTATTTAAAATGACCACTGAACCTGCGTCATGGTAACCGTATCAAGTGAATGACTTGCAGTGACAGGTCCTTGCGTTGGGTAAACATGTGTGGAGATGTGGCTGAACCAGTCCACTGGGCTAAACCAATCCACTGGGCTAAGGTCAACAGCAAATATTGGAACAAAAGACTAAAGAGATAAACCTCAGAGGTGGTGATGTGTGTGTGTGTGTGTGTGTACATACGTGTGTGTGTACATGCGTGTGTGTGGTCAGGTATCAATGTCGGGGAAAGTATCTAAATCTGCTGCGACACATCATTTCTCAGTCCTCTGAGACTTATGTTGTTGTTGTGCATTGTCACTGCCGTCAACGCTCTTGAGCTTCCTCATGGAGAGAAGGAGCGAGGGAGGCGGGAGGCACTACATGGAGTGTGTGTGAGTGTGTGGGGGGAGAAATCATAGCGGGAGAGCAGGTTTATTTTGTTTTTCACTGTTCTCTGGAAGAGAGGGAGAAGGAGGGGTGATAAGAGAGAAGGGGGGTGTGACCCATGCCATGGCGTAATGCTACCATGGAATTCCCCCTCCCTGAGTTAACTCTCACCTGGCCCCTCCCACCTGTCTTACTGGCCTATAAAGCCTCACACAGGTAAAGCCTCACATCTAGCTACAGGTGCATCTCTGACACTATAGAGAGAGAGAGATAACGGGAGAGAGAGAATACAGAGAGTTCAGATTAACCGTGGAGTGTACTGACGAACTCTCGGAGTGAATCACAAACACTGGACTCTAAATCAAACAGTGGAGTATTATTTATCTGACAGCTTTTCATCGCTACCTGTCGGTCGCCTCAGAATCAGGTACGTGTGGAGATGGAGTTGGAGGTGACCTTTGGGGAGTAATGGGGTGCGTGTTTGGGTCTGGGGTCACAAGGATCTTGGCAGCATATGTTTGGCAGAATCATCCAATTGAATGATCAAACGTATATTGACTTATCTGTAAAATATTGGGGGTAATGTCAGTTGTATATTCATGCACAGCAGAGGAAAGGAAATAAAAACTGGTGTGTATTCACGCACAGACAAATATTTTGCATACATGCAAAGTACAACCACAGTGACCCACTTCAAATCAATGAATACAATAAGCCATGTTTCACTAAAACATCAATATCCATATATGCATCCAATGGCTCACTCAATTGTCTCCTAGTTAGAGAAAACATTTATATATTTGTTAATTAATCTATGTCCATAAACAGCATTCTAATGTCTTACTAACTGGCCTGTCTCCTGGTTGCAGATAGCCCATGTCGTCTGCCAGTGAGCTGTGTACGATCCTGACCAACGCTAACATGACCATGTACCAGACTGGGAGCTCAGAGCCCCTGCAGCCGCTGCAGCCCAGCCTCACCACCGTGTCTCTGCCCGCCATAGGAGACCTGCTGCAACTCTCAGACCTTTCCTCATGCAGTTCCATTATACTGGGTGAGAACACTTATTAATACTTTTTTTAAACGTTTATTTGTATTATTACGTTTTTTTGGACAGGGACAGTGTACACAAAAAACATCGGCCTCAATATACTGAGAAATTATGCGTTGCACCAGATTTAGCTAAAAACGAATTTCCATCTGCAGTCACCTGGACCCTATAGGCGGCTTATACCAATGCCTCTTCATAATAACTGAACGCACCCAGAAGATGATACAACTATGATATCTATTGAAGGAAGAAACAATAGACTCAAACTGAATACTGATAGAAAAGGATGATGTGTAACTCCTGAGTGGCGCAGCGGTCTAAGGCACTGCATCTCAGTGCTAGAGGCGTCACTACAGACCCTGATTCGATTCCAGGCTGTATCACAATCCAGCCGTGATTGGGAGTCCCATAGGGTGGTGCACAATTGGCCCAGCGTCGTCCGGGTTTGGCCGGTGTAGGCCATCATTGTAAATAAGAATTTGTTCTTAACTGACTTGCCTAGTTAAATAAAGGAAGAAATTAAAACTTTCTCTGCTTTGTTTTCAGCATGTGGGATATTTTAGTCCCTGATATATACTTTTGTGTTGATCACCTGGGAAACCACCGTATGGATGTGTGTAATCTTTTCTGTGCCAATCTTTATTCAGTCATGAGTTTTGGCGGTTGTTTGGTTTTGGTTGCTGTGCTGGCAGGTGAAGTCTGTGGATATTTAAAATGTCTCACCCTGGATAGATCTATTGGCTGAGCTTGTTGGCAGACACTCAGTCAAAGCACACATTAAACATACTGTATGTCCTTAAGCGAAACTATCAGACAGACAGGGAATTGGCTGAACTTTGCAATGACCTAATTTAGAAGGCTGTTAAATCATTAACCGGGACAATGTTTAACTTGTCTTTAATAGAGGAATGCTATCTTTTCATCTTTCAGACTCCTCTAGCTTTATGTTACTTGCTGTAGCCTATAGTTAGTGATAAGTGGTGACTAGACAGAACGTCAGCTCACCTGTTTAGGTAGTTGAAGAGTTAAACGACGCGCAGCAGAGAAACTAGAGCCAGGCATTCTGACTCGGCGAAACCACAAAATCTGGTTTTCACAGGTCCAGATCAGTATCTGGGTCCTTGTGTGAGTTGGCATTTAGTTGGAAAATATGAGTTAGTCAGTATCTTGTGGGTCGATAGATTGACAAAGGTTTTATATTTTAAAAGCTCATGTTCTATAATAGTTATGACTGAAAACACATTGTGTAATGTATAATTACTATCTATCCAGATGTAATGTATATCAAATTACTTTATTCTTGCTATGTATCTATAGTGAAAAGTGGCATGTATGTAAAATGTGTGTAGAATGTACAAATGAAAAAGCTATAAAAAAAGATTGTTTAATCTCCAAAGAGGGATAGTGATTTTACAATGACAGTATCATGTCTCACCCACATGAACACACACAAACACACACACACACACACACACACTGCACAAATCTAACACCCCCTCCACCTCTGTGTCCTCCTCTAGCTCAATGGTATGACCTGAACCCTCAGTACTGGAGCAAGCAGAACGTGTTGGAGTGGATCAGTTTTCACGTGGAACGCTGTAAGTTTGATGCCAGCACACTGAGCCTGTCCTACTGCTCCATTGATGGACCTACACTCTGCCAACTGACCAGAGATCAGCTGTTAAACATGTTTGGAATGTCCCTCGGGACTCAGCTCTACCAGAGCCTGTTGGAACTCAAGGCCAAATACGGTAAGGATCTGATGGAAGTGAATTGAATAAACTTTATTGATGATCATCAAAGGGGGGAACTTAGATTTACCTCAGGGAGCAGACACAGACATATTAGTAATTTTATTTAGACAATTTATTCGTCAATAGAGTAATGATTCAGTCATTCAATTTATTTTTGTGTTTTGTCATTTCTGTTCCAGATCTGAACGAGACCTGTAAGCTTCTGGACAACTTCCTTGAGGAGTTCCCAGACTTCCCTCTGCTCAGCACAGTAGAAGTGAACGAAGGTAAACACATCCTCTCGTAATTTCTTCACACTTCCTACTACCAGACTGCCACGCCAAAGCCTCAAGTGTCAAAGGGACACATTTGCTGACTGACATTGTGATGTTACTGTTACAGTTGTGACAGACACCAGCTATACTGACTTCTCACACATCTTCAAGAACTTCGATAACATGAAGCCGCTCAGCGATAATGGATATGAGTCCGACAGCATGCACAGCTCCTCATCAGGTGAGTGCTGTCCCACTTTCCTATTCTTCTCCTTCATCATCCCTCCTCTCATCACTCCTCTCATCCCCCAATTCTTCTCACATCACTCGATCATGGTGTGATTGGTTTGGCCTGTATCACTGAGCCCAAGGCCTTATTAATCGATCAAGGCAGGATGAAGGAGAGGCCGTATTGAAAGTGTTTTCCTTCCTCTCTCCCTGCCTCCAGGGGGAATGCTCAGCTTCCAGATCCCCAGCTCTCCAGAATCCAGGAGCAGTGAGTCCGACCCAGAGTTCTCCTACCCTCAGATAGCAAGTGAGTACAACTTTTCATAAGTGGACATCACATTCTTGAACTTCAGATGGGTGAGCCTTGAAAGTGCATGTCTCTTTGAAAGCCAGTCTGGCGTTCTAAACTCCTGAACCGTTGTGTTTGACAGAAGGGCACATAAAGACAGAGAGGGGAGAGACGAAGAAGAGAGGCAGAGGAAGACCTCCCAAACTCAGCCGAGACCACAAACACTTCTACCAGACCTCCACAAAGAGCAAACATGGTGAGTGGCTCTTCTCATTCTAACACACACACACACACACACACACACATGCACACACATGCACACACGCACGCACACACGCATACACCAATGTCAACAACTGTTTTCAATGGTGCTCTGTAGAAGCACGGTTTTATCAGTCATGTGATTTGCATACATTTTTGCATCTGGTACTGAAAACAGCCACAGTCAAAACATCACAGGTGCATAGTCCAATAACCACACACGCATGCACACACACACGAATGCACACACACAAACACAAGCACACCTGCTCTACCTCATCCTTGCTTGCTTAAGCACACACACACGCACACCTGCGCTGTCTTACACACACCTAACGCTACCTCTCCCCTGTCGCCCTATAGCACCTCGTGGGACCCACCTGTGGGAGTTCATTAGGGACATCCTGATCCACCCAGAGCAGAACCAGAACCAGGCTCTGATGAAGTGGGAGGACCGCCGTGAGGGCGTCTTCAAGTTCCTCAAGTCTGAGGCTGTGGCCCAGCTGTGGGGGCAGAAGAAGAAGAACAGCAGCATGACCTATGAGAAGCTCAGCCGCGCCATGAGGTAGGAAACCATGGTGATATAGTAGCACCTTCATGCCAACTAGCCATGGAAATCCTAGCAACCAAGCTAAACAGAGCTAATCAGTGAGGGTGAAGTCAGAGGATTTGTTTTTGTGTCGACAATGATTAACAATTGCCTGGTCATAAGACTAACCTGTGGCTCTCCTTCCTCCCTCCCTGCTATAGATACTACTACAAGAGAGAGATCCTGGATAGAGTGGACGGTAGACGGCTGGTCTATAAGTTTGGGAAGAACTCCACCGGCTGGAAGGTGGAAGAGACCGAGCTGCATGGCATGTGAGATACAAGGCAGGAGACAGGAAAGGTAGAGACCAACGGCCAAGAGGGACGAGGGTATAAACTGGACAGACCAGTTCCCCTCAGTCCTATTGTAGATAGGATGACCCACTCTCTGGATGACAGCCCTACTCTACCTGAAATAATATAAAGACACTTACTTCTCTTCTTCCAGGGGAGGTGTTGCAGAAAATGTAAGCCAGTGTTTTTGGCTCTAGTAGGTTTTATGAACCGATATAGTTATTGTACAGTAATAATGTGTAATATGGACACCGCTCTGGGCCTACCAGTGAGTAGGTATGATGGTGTGTCTGTTTGTTTGTTTTCAGTTATATTCTCTCTAGGATAGATAATAGTGGTCCTGTATGACTGCATGGTCTTGTACGGCTCTCTTGGTAGAGTATGGCGCTTGCAACACCAGGAAAGTGGGTTCAATTCCCAGGACCACCCATATGTAAAATGTATGACTGTAAGTCGCTTTGTATAAAAGCATCTGCTAAATAGCATATATTATAACAATAAAGGCATTAATGTTTGCATGTATATAAGCACCTCACATTGTGTGGGAGTAACTTACCTTATGTGTCACTATGACAACCATATGGGCATTATGATTTTTACTGTGGCAATGTAAGCACTGGGTATTATATTCATCTGTTTTTTTGTTTCTATTTTTTATATTAATATTTAACAAGCGACAGTCTACCATTTTTATATGTCTATTTGCCAAACCTCTGACTTCTAAAATGAGCCATTGTTAAGAAGAGCCTCATGTTGTGTTTTACTCTTCTGGGAGTTATGGGTATATAAGGGCTTGTGTTAAATTGTAAACCTGATATGAAGGAGGGAGGAGACACATGGAGGACAAACAAAAGATAGAGAAGAGAGAGAGGGAGAAAGGGAACAAAATGAAGGGATACTCATTATAAACTATTGGTGACATGACGTTGTGTACTTCGCTGTTTCAGCGTGAAAGTATATGTCCTTTATAGCCATATTAATCTTTATGTATCTCACCAGACGAGACCTACGTCAATACAGTATGTATTAATAATCAATTTAAAACAAAAATCAGTTTCAAACAAATCAACAACTCAACTCCTGTTCTTTATGATTATTAGTTATGTTATTCAGCGGGTCTGTTTCCTTCTAGATCACTCAATATCATGTGTATGAGAATTCAATCTCAGATTGTATCGTTTGTGATATTTTTACACACATGTATGTATGGCTTATTGTTTTATTTTGTACAGTTATTAAGAGCATTTTTACGGAAATAAACTCTGTGTATTTGGTACAAATTTGACTATTATGTTTGAAAGTAAATCACATAGTACACCAACTGAACATAAACTTCAATTAAAAGCACTCCTAATTCCATCTGTGTAATAGCATCAGCTAAATTAAAATATATTCAAGTTCTATTCTCTCCCTTGACATGTCTTTTGCACTTCTCAACCACTTGTTTAACCTCATATAACATCTCATCTGGAGGACGAGTCAGTTGGCAGTCTGACTCCTGCCAACCATTGTCAGACTAGACAAGCTCTTGTTGGAATATACACTACCGGTCAAAAGTTTGGACACACCTACTCATTCAAGGGTTTTTCTTTATTTTTACTATTTTCTACATTGTAAAATAATAGTGAATACATCAAAACTATGAAATAACACATATGGAATCATGTAGTAATCAAAAAAGTGTTAAACAAATCAAAATATATTTTATATTTGAGATTCTTCAAATAGCCACCCTTTGCCTTGATGGCAGCTTTGCACACTCTTGGCATTCTCTCTTATTTCATAGTTTTGATATCTTCACTATTATTCTACAATGTAGAAAATAGTAAAAATAAAGAAAAACCCTTGAATGAGTAGGTGTTCTAAAACTTTTGACTGGTACTGTAGTAAAAACTCAATGCAACCGTGACAGAGTGTCTGTCTACAGAACATACTGTATACAGGCCATTCCACCAATTAAGTGCCAAATAAAGTAACAGGGTTGATGACTTCATCTTAAATCAGCCATGAATCCCCTTGTGACAGGGGGATTGGAAGCGTGTTGTGTGCAACAGGGAGTGGCAATTAAATACAAGCTTCACAAAAACATTCAGTTGTGAAAACATTTCTAGCCTGTCTATCTATGGGTAACAGGGTTGACGTGTTATCCTCGACCCACTCAGTATTCCAACACAAAACACCAGAAAATGACAAAGAATAGGAGCGCCAGCTCACCTGTTTTTACTCTATGATTTGACTATTAGATGTTCAATGTTAAATAAATAAAAAGGATAAATAAGAGTTCACGTAAGAGGGTTGACCTTAAATGAGGGACTGGTTAATCTATGCGTGTATGTGTTGTGTGATGTTTCAGAGACCAGACTATAGATCTGTTACTTTTTACAAAGGCTCCCCTGTTGCCGGGCGACAGTTGAGGTTAAGTTGGGGTTCACTGCCCTGACGTGGTTTACACCTCAGTCTGATACTCACTCCCACACACAAACGCACGCATGCATGCACGTGCACATGCACATACACACACAGATACACACACTTAAGGAAGCCATACCTCCACACTCTGGCAGGGGAATTTCCGGGCATTCCATTCCATGACAGACTCTTCATTAGGTGAACTGGGTTATAGATCCCTGTACAAATCAAGATAGTGCCTTCTTTAGGCCTGGAAGCATTCTCGTCCATTACCAAAACAATAAAACACTGAAACATCCAGGATTAATGAGAGCAACAAAATCATCTTGTGATTGCCCACTGGGCACACACTGGTTGAATCAACGATGTTTCCAAGCCATTTCAATTAAATTACTTTGAACCAACGCGGAATAGATATTACAACTGTGGGTAGTAATGTGACATGTTGAAAGCACAGTTGAAATCATGCAAAAATCAAAGTGCTGTGGTTTTCTACATGCAGAACACAAGACTAAAAGGCCTTTCATCTTTAACAAATAAGGATTTCAAAGCTCTCACCCATTCCCACTTCCCACTCTCTCTCACACACCCACATACACACACCTTAGTGAGGTGGCAAAGGGTATCTGCACCTCCCCGCTAGATCAACATACCTGTCTAACAGGTGTATTTGGCGGGCTGCCAGAATGTGACTCCAGCACGTAACTTACTGGAACCTTTCTGTCTGCTGCCAGGAAAAACATAGAGAGAGGGCGGGGACACAGCTTTTATTGCCTCTGTATACACAGATAGAGAGAGAGAGAGAGAGAGAGAGAGAGAGAGAGAGAGAGAGAGAGAGAGAGAGAGAGAGAGAGAGAGAGAGAGAGAGAGAGAGAGAGAGAGAGAGAGAGAGAGAGAGAGAGAGAGAGAGAGAGAGTGACTATGGCCTTCCAATAGTCACTCATTAAATCCCTAGAGTCTATAATTATTTACAGTGAGGGAAAAAAGTATTTGATCCCCTGCTGATTTTGTACGTTTGCCCACTGACAAAGAAATGATCAGTCTATAATTTTAATGGTAGGTTTATTTGAACAGTGAGAGACAGAATAACCATCGCCAAGCAGCTTGGTGAGAAGGTGACAACAGTTGGTGCGATTATTCGCAAATGGAAGAAACACAAAATAACTGTCAATCTCCCTCGGCCTGGGGCTCCATGCAAGATCTCACCTCGTGGAGTTGCAATGATCATGAGAACGGTGAGGAATCAGCCCAGAACTACACGGGAGGATCTTGTCAATGATCTCAAGGCAGCTGGGACCATAGTCACCAAGAAAACGATTGGTAACACACTACGCTGTGAAGGACTGAAATCCTGCAGCGCCCGCAAGGTCCCCCTGCTCAAGAAAGCACATATACAGGGCCGTCTGAAGTTTGCCAATGAACATCTGAATGATTCAGAGGAGAACTGGGTGAAAGTGTTGTGGTCAGATGAGACCAAAATCGAGCTCTTTGGCATCAACTCAACTCACCGTGTTTGGAGGAGGAGGAATGCTGCCTATGACCCCAAGAACACCATCCCCACCGTCAAACATGGAGGTGGAAACATTATGCTTTGGGGGTGTTTTTCTGCTAAGGGGACAGGACAACTTCACCGCATCAAAGGGACAATGGACGGGGCCATGTACCGTCAAATCATGGGTGAGAACCTCCTTCCCTCAGCCAGGACATTGAAAATGGGTCGTGGATGGGTATTCCAGCATGACAATGACCTAAGAACACACGGCCAAGGCAACAAAGGAGTGGCTCAAGAAGAAGCACATTAAGGTCCTGGAGTGGCCTAGCCAGTCTACAGACCTTAATCCCATAGAAAATCTGTGGAGGGAGCTGAAGGTTCGAGTTGCCAAACGTCAGCCTCGAATCCTTAATGACTTGGAGAAGATCTGCAAAGAGGAGTGGGACAAAATCCCTCCTGAGATGTGTGCAAACCTGGTGGCCAACTACAAGAAACGTCTGACCTCTGTGATTGCCAACAAGGGTTTTGCCACCAAGTACTAAGTCATGTTTTGCAGAAGGGTCAAATACTTATTTCCCTCATTAAAATGCAAATCAATTCATAACATTTTTGACATGCGTTTTTCTGGATTTTGTTGTTGTTATTCTGTCTCTCACTGTTCAAATAAACCTACCATTAAAATTATGGACTGATCATCTCTTTGTCAGTGGGCAAACGTACAAAATCAGCAGGGGATCAATTACTTTTTTCCCTCACTGTATATATTTTTTAGACACTAATCTACTTCCATATATACTTCCATTCTTTTTTTTAACTGGTACCGGGCTACCTTTAGATCATTTGTACGGAGAGAACATTTCTATGTTTTTGATTTAATTTTGTGCAATTCTACCCATTTTACCATAGGGTGGAGAGAAATGTTTGAAGCTTTTAATATGATATCTGAGTGAGACTGACAAACAAAATCAATGGGGGCCGCTCGGGCTCTAATTCAACCTTGATTACTACAAATTTAGACAGTTGGCCGCTAGACTAACTTACCAATCTAAAAAAAAATGTAGCTGACATGGGCTAATTGAGTGACTATCAGTGACTGACATAGCAAGAGAAAAACTGTTGATGCAGAACCAAATTTCTAAATTGCACCTTGTGTATTCTACTACTCTACCTCTCAAGGACGTCTATCCATTCTCTAGCTTAAACAGACAGGCGCGGACATCGACTAATACATTTTTTGGGTAATCAAATCTCAGTAACTTTCATTTTCTCCAAAGGATACACAGACACACACAGTACACACACGCACGCTAGTGATGCACGGCTTGACACATAACCAGGGCAGCCGGGTTTAAGGTTAATGTTCACGTTATCACGTATAGTCGGGCGGTTGCAGACGGGTTAATCTACTAAATGACCTTTTTCATTATCATGTCTTATTGCTCCACAATCACTATACCTTTGGTAAATGTGTCAAAGGTTTATTACACCATGAGCAAACTTTACAGTAAACCTACAGTATCTTGACATAACCATTACCTCTCTTAAAGATAATGGTTTCTGCTAGGACAAGCCCCCTGGTTCGGAAGGCCACACCTCTACATGATGGAGTTGTTGACACGTTGACACTGGGAGGAGGTATAAGTCGCCCTAACAACTGTTAAAGGGTCAGATTGTTGTCCCTAATGGTTAATGTAAGGATTGGATTGGTGATCGGGTTATCTGATCCTA